GTAAAATTTACGGTAAAAAAAACGGCAGCTGTGGTTGCCGGAATTATGCCGTAAAAATACGGTAGCAACATTTTAGGTTTTATGGTTTTAACTTAAATTTACAGTTTAATACCGGGATTTCATTAACTGATATAATGTTAATATACCAACCTATTGAAGTACTGAATTCTGTTTTGTACCTTCGTAATACACTGATAACCACCAAATGCAGGTAGTGATGAGAAAGCCACATGATGAACCAAAGCCAATCACAAGCAACTTTTAAATAACATATTTAGAAGGTGCACAGTGTCATTCACACAAACACCAAACACCATCATGGTAACACACATGAAACTGAAATAATGCAATAAACATTCATTTAACAACATTAGGTGTAACACACAACCCTAATATACAAAACTGATAAGAAAAAACTGAGAAGAAACACAGTTACTTCAACAAAAAAACATCAAATTTTAAATGTAACGCAGGGAATTGTGGGAATGTCAATTTACGGTTATTCACCGTAAATTATACAGTCTTTTTCACTTACCAAAAATGGTATACTACTGTAAAATTAATGTCCAATACATGTATGTCCAATACAGTTTTTCACCATATATAGTAGGGGAATTTACCGTTAACCATTTAACAGGTTTTTACTGTAGCATTTTTACAGTCTTTTACCGTTAAATTCGCAGTCATTTTTTACAGTGTAATTAACTATTCCTTTGACAATATCATTGTTGTTCCAAGTGTGCTTTTATTTGTGCTTTGTTTCATTTAAATTTGTATTTCATTTAAAGGATTTTTTGTGAGGTACTGAATGTGGTATTTAGGTCAAAAGGTCAAACATTAATAAAAAATGTGATATTAATGGATTTTAATCCATGGCTTTTGAGAACCGCTTTTTGTTTTATTTATGTTTGTATTGTGTTCTTTTGTTAGTGTTGTAGTAATGGGGTACAAACAGTTCTGAGGGTCTCGATGAACCATAGATGAACCTGATGAAGCTCTACCTGCTGGATGAACATGCTATTTCACTAACAGCGCTCTCTTACTGATTAATGTATCTGTAAATTCTAAAACAAAACAAACAAAAAAAATTGTTCAGGTTACATGCAAGATATATCTAAATGTATTTATTTGTTGCTTTATGCCTCCTTTTGTACAATAATAAATAAACATGCTTTAGTACAGTCTAATCTTTAAATTCTTCAGCCTCATGCTTAATCTTTGCAGACATCACAACATAGCTCTACTCATTGTTTATTTGATTTTACTTCTTTATTCTCTTATTTGATGTTACATTCTTTATTCTGCTAGTCTTGCCAGGTTCATTTTTGTATTGTCAAATTTGCTATATAATGAAATTTAATATAAAAACTGTTAAGAAAGTATTTTAGAATACAGTGTTTTTATGTAGCATTCATACGACCATCAAACAAGACTAATACAGTGATTCAGAATAGCAGATCAATACACAATATGCCACTGCCAATAACAGCTCCTGGATTCTATATTTGCTTACATGTATTCATTAAGCAAGCAGAAACTAGAAAATAAATCCAAGAGACAACACCAGGCCATTAAAAATATATCGAAAACAAATAATTTTCTTTTACATCTTAAAAATTCCTTAAAAATGAAAATAAAAGGTTACAAACAGTAACCTCATCTTGGCTGCAGGTGTTTCAGGTTCCAGGAAGATGTTGACCACTGAGAAATGCTGAGTGTGAAATGAAAAGCTGAGAAGAGAGAGAGAAAAAAAATAACCTGCTCACAGTCACAAGACCACAAAATAAATGTGTGAACTTTAGTCCCATCAGTTTACAGTCTCACTAACTATTTTTAACCATTGTTGCATTCATGGCTGTTGAACCCTACAGATAATTGGCCTGATCAATATCTCCACAGTCTTTTTTCACCTGTTCAAATCAGTTTCAGTTGTGTTGTTTAGTTCAATTCACACAAACCACATTCAGCTGTACTACAAGCATCAGTTGCATCAGACAACTGACTCTCGACAGCTTTACAGCAAAACAACCACAGATGAGTTCAGTATAACAATCTATATGATTTACATCAAACATGCAATACAAAACATGCATTTTTGGGAAAATATAGTACCAAAGACCAATTGAGAGCTGGTGAGAGAGAAGAACTTCAACACACTGTGGTTTAATGCGCTTCTGAAACAAACATT